TATGATTGCAAATGAGACATATCTCCATCCATCTCCAAAACAAAATGTCGTCGATGTAAGCAATTATATAGGCTAGGGTTCGGCATTCAACGCGGAGACCTGTCTCACACCGCTTAGTAAGCTTTAAACAGACCCAAATTATTCACTAAGCTGAGTACATTTGTGTCAATGAAAAGGACAGTTGAATGCAAAGAAGAACGAGTGGGCGCTGGATTCTTAACCCACTTGAGCAAATCAATGTGACATTGAACGCAAAATAAGAACGAATGAGCACTAATAATATTCTTGAGTTTTAACACATTTGAAAGTTTAATTATTTATCCTTATTCGGATTTAGCTATACTTAATGTCCTTTTTTATTTGATTTTTTCGTCAACAGTTGTAAAAGTGTTTTTGTTTTCACTTATTTTGGTCTCGGCGAGCATTACTGATGAGACACCACTTGTCAAAATCCGCATCTTGTGCAATGGAATTGGTAACGTTTATGTCGTTGGTTGAGTGCATGTGGTTGTAAACTTGATACACGTACATACCTATCTTCCATTACTGGAGATTTGCTCTTCTCCTCCTCTAAAGAGGTATCTAGTGAATTTTGTGCAACTTTTCTTGAAGGTTCGTACACTTCTTTTTCTCTTTTCTTGAAAGCTGATTGTGACATCCCATTCGTATTTAAATTGGCTAAATATCTGTTGACCCAGACCAGTGTCATACATAGCTATAAAAGTAATTATCGAGTCTTAGGAAATTTCGATATGACATGCTTGCATAATCATGTCAAAATACACACGCTGTAGAAAAAGTTTATTATTCGGTGAAAATTATACTTGCATTGATATGCTAGATTAATATATATATGTGTAATGAGCGGAAGCAAACTATCAATAACTTAAAACCCAATCAGATAACCCATATCAGCCCTATGCGACGTCGCATGGTGGGACTGTTATGTGGTTATTAGCCTGGTTGCGTTAGTGCATCGGTAGTATTATGATAAAATTATTAAAGATTAATGCATCTCCATTTCCATATCATTCCGGATATCATCCCTCTACCAATATCAGCTCGAGACTTATTCGAGCCTCAGGGTTGATATTGTTTTTTGGGGGGATGATACCTGGGCCGATTTGGAAAACACCCCTTATTGATCTGTATTTAAAACTATTCATCACAAAGAAGGAATTATTGTTCTCGGGAAAATTAGGTATACAGAGGCTGGTTTCTTTTTTAGAAAAAAAAAACGGACAACGAATATGTTTTTGTCGAGCCTGCGACTTTTGTTGTAGAAAGCTCGACATAGGGATAGTAATCCGGCGGCGGCGTAAGCTAACTTCTTAAAAGCTTTACATTTTAGAAGGTGGAAGACCTGGATGCTACATACTTTGCATATAAATACTTTATGTTACGAAGTTTCCGTCTGTCACATGTCCATTGTCCTTGACCTCATTTTCATGGTTCAGTGACTAGATGAAGAAGAGTTAAGGTTTTTTATAAAGTTAATTTTTCTCTTATTATGAGTAATAGGATAACTATATTTGTTATGTGCGTACCTTGCAAGGTCATCATGCCCATCAGACAGTTTTTACTTGACCTCGACCTCATTTCATGGATCAGTGAACAAGGTTAAGTTTTGGTGGTCAAGTCCATATCTCAGATACTATAAGTAATAGGTCTAGTATATTTGGTGTATGGAAGGACTGTTAGGTGTACATGTCCAACTGGCATGTGTCATCTTACCTTGACCTCATTTTCATGGTTCAGTGGTTATGGTTAAGTTTTTGTGTTTTGGTCTGTTTTTCTTATACTGTATGCAATATGTCTACTATATTTGGTGTATGGAATGATTGTAAGGTGTACGCGTCTAGCTGGTAGGTGTCATCGGACATTGACCTCATTTTCATGGTTCAGTGGTCGAAGTTGAGTTTTTGAGTTTTGGTCTTTTTTTCTAATACTATATGCAATAGGTCAACTTTATTTGGTGTATGGAAATATGTTATGATGTCTTAGTAATTTTCTCAGAAACTATAAGCAATAGGTCAGCTATATTAAGTGTATTGGATGATTGTAAGGTGTACATGTATTTCTTCTTTGGTTTGTATGACCTTGACCTCATTTTCTTGGATCATGTTAAGTTTATGTGATAGTTGTAGTAAAGCTTTAAATTTAGGACTATCAACATAATATCAATGATTAGTAAAGAAGGCGAGTGTGTGCACTCTTGTTTTTAAAAAAGTAGAAGCAGTGAACTGCGAAAAACGTGTTTTAAATGTCCAGAAAAAATCACATTTACTATTCAGAAATGAAGGAGGTAGACACTGAAAGAAATGTTATCACTCTGTGCGTTAAATAAATAGTGCACCGCAACATCGGATAACTCAGATCGCAAATAGTACCAAAATCTTCTAGACAACTTCTTTCCAATATTTTGCGGTTAGTTAATAAAGTACAAAAATAGAAGAAATTGATACGTTGTTTTTTTTTTAGCTTTTGAACGATTTTTACGCTATTTTACGGAGATCTATTAGGGAGCTACCATTTGATTTTTGTGATGAAATTTGAAAAATAGGCAGGATAGGAGTTTTGAGTAAAAAAAAATGGCAGGATGAGCAACTTGGCCAAAAAAAAAAAGGCAGGATGACAATTTATGTAAAAAAAATCAGGATAGAATAATGAAAAAAAGGCAGGACCGAATGGAGTTCAAAATAAAAAGGCAGGACAGAGATTACAACTAAAAAAAATGCAGGACAAAATTTTCATCCTAGCCACACCATAAAATTTAAATTGTAGCTCGCTTAGAAGTAGAAAAACAGCAAAAAATCTGAAGGGCGGTATGTTAATATCAACTAAAGGAAGCCACATGAAAATATTGGGATCGGTCCTATGTTGGAAAACAATTTAAGTCTCACTCCGAAAATCGCCGGCTTTTTCACGCTCGTCTGGAGCACCTGAGTTGAAAGACCAAACCCAATGAAAATTTACGGTCACTAGAAGGACACCTGCCCATGAAGTATTAATCCTCAGTTTACGCGTCGGAGGTCACATTCTTTTTTTATTTTTTAAAAAGTATAGGGTGTAGAATAGCCGTAATGTACACAAAATGTTTCGGTAATTTGTAAAAAATCATTTTTCTTTCGAAAATGCCATGGCGCAACCGAATTTTTAAAGAAAAATTGAAGAATGTACGTTAAGGTCATCTCAAATAATATTGTTAATGTTTGCATTCACAAAATATATAAAATCTGTAGTTTATGTATAGTGGAAAAGACACGTTTATACTGTCTGTTCTCTATGAACAAAGAAATATCATGGTCATTATATGTAATTATTTGTCATAGGTATGCTTCGACATTGTTATTATATCAATTACAAAATGTTCTATGTTTTAATTTGTACATTAAATTATGCTATACAATCCAATACACAAAAAGGTAGGAAGCACCTGCTTTTCCTTTGCAGTGATACGGTGGATGGGTTGATGCGATAACGTCATAATGATAAACATGACGTCATATTGCACAACGTACGAATTCAAAATATACTGGTATCTGTGACAACTTTTGACAATGCAATATTAAGGGAATAGTTGAAGAAACAAGTTATTCATAGACCAATACTTTGATGGTCAGTTTTTTTTCTAGTATCATTAATACATAGTATGTGATTTATAAATAAACTGTTTGTTGGGACAAAGGAACAGCTAGTTGCATTTTTGTTGAGCTTTTTATTCTGATTTTTGTTCTACTCTTATTAGAAATAAGAAGATGTGGCATAAGTGCCAATAAGACAACGTTTTTTTGTTTTGTGAAGAGTATAGGAACAGTATTAACATTTTTTTTTAAATTTGAATCACTCATTTTGTTTACCGATTTATCTTACCTACTGCTGCTTTCGAATTTACATCAAATATTGGTCTTGTCTTCTGTTTTTTTGCATCATGATGGACCTTTCCGGAGTAGATTTTATTTATCACACCACAAGAACATTCAACATACAGAATGCACCCTAGACCACACTTTGTTTCTTCGGTTACGTTTGTAAACTGTAGTGGCAGTCCACAGTCTACACAACCTGCTTTTAGCTGTTTGTCCATTTCATATGGTTCAAAAACGCGCCTCTCTCCCGGTATCCAGATACATGAGTTTAACTGTCTTGGTTCATTGCTTTCAGCTTCCAACAAATTGTCCGTTTCGTATAGCATTTTCATTTTTATACATTTAATCAATACGTCGTTTGCTTTCTCCTGCTTTCGTGAAACGTCCATTCGAGCGGGCCGCCATTTTAGAAATCGGCGACCTTTACGACTGACTCGAAAACGGCGACGTCATAATACGGTTACGACACTATAGCGGCGCCGAGAGCGATGCGTATAAACAATAGTGTGATTTCCCTTTAAAGATGTTTGCTTGTCTTGTTTTTTTTTTAACCTTTCACAGATGTTTTGAATCATCTAGTTTTATGCATGTGGTTCCATTTCAAATATGGTGCCCGCTAAAACTTTCTTTTCTTTTCATAATGTTATAACATATAGTTTAAAAAGCCTTTTTTTTAAATCCTTTGCTATTTTTTCATATTTTTTTATAGAAAAAATGTGCCAATGTTAATTGTATGAAAATTCTAGAGAGAATCATTTCCCGCCAAGTTTTGTTTGGGTTATGTCTCAAAATCAGGGACATGAACCTTGCATTTTATTCTGGTCTTTTAGTTCTGTTATATATGTATACTATCAGTGTATTACAGTCTTTTTAGAAGATATTATCTTGAAACAGAGTAGCGAACATCCTTAAGTAGCTTCATGTATTTATGTTTTCACGATGATGAATTGATTGATTTATTAATGTTTGACGCTCCTTTCACCACTCTGTGAACTGACAATCCTAGTCGATGAAGACAGGAGTCGAGCGCACAAGCAAATAGAAGCATAGTATTGAATATAAGTCGACCGAAACCTAAATGTATTGGGTGAAGGAATGACTATCATTTGTTCTCTTTTTTTTTCATTTTAGTTACAAAGAATATCTGTGGATGACTCTGTCTTTGACAACGACTGCACCAATCAACGCATTGGCTTGAAAAGCTGGTTCAATCATATTAAGCCGTCGATATATATCTGTACCATAGCTTTGCTATACATTAGAAGTGTCCTCTGGAATATGTTCTGAGCCCCTGTGTGGCAATTTACCTATTTTAACAAGCTTGTGTGTATGGTGTCAGTTTTATTTTTCAGTTTCCATGCAAAGTGTTTATTACAATAATATACTTAGTGGATTGTATAATCACAAAGAAAATCTTTCAAAATCACTGTCATACATGACCTCATGCGAATCAGTTTATTATTAATTAATAATTGAATGCTTCTTTTTGTAGTTTTATTGTGGTGTCAATGTGTCGACCGAGGTACATTTTGTATGCAGTGCGGAATCTTATCCAAAATTAAATTTAATTTGCCAATAAAATGCAACATTCATGACTGCACGTGCTTCCCGTGACATCGTCGCAACAATAAAAAGGAAAAGAAACGAAAAATCTGATACATCACGTTATTTCATGGTTGTAGCATAACAATGTAATTATAATAATTTTTTTTTTTTTTGGGTAAATTTATAGTGTTGTTTAGCGTTGACCGTGCGCACATTTTTAGTACGAAGCGCTTCCGCTTGTAAATACTTCCGGTGTGTAAATAAAGGCTTTATTTATAAGCAATATTAGATAGTATATACATTTATTTTCCATTGCCGTAGGTAGATATAAAGGTTTGTTCCCTCAAGAAAATTCTTAGTTTACGAGGGTGATCAAATATGGGTTGTCTTTTTGTCGCCATGAAAAAAATTGGCATCTTTTTAGTGTGCATTCACTATACATTTTTCGGAAACAATACGTTTTAAAAATGCCCAAAATATCGTCTTCTGAAAATAGGGCTCATTCGCTTTCTATGTTTATATAATACTTCAGTTTGTATAAATGTGACAGCGGAAATTCATGTTTCACTTCTTGTTTCAGTTTTTCGTGCTTTATTGTATATATTTATATGTTTTAATAAAGATTCTTATTTTCATGTTTTTTATAATAAAAGTTCATTTCCAAGTTTTATAAATTTACAGATATCTGATTTCACATGGAAAGATATAGTTTCGTAACTTTAATCTGCATAGCATTGTTTGGTAAAATTACATTATATAAACAATTTACAAAGTCAATTAACGAATACTTTTTCACAAAAGATAGCAAATAAAGGATTATATAATGTTGTACAATTTCTTTCTCAATAATTTAGTTAATCCGTCTCTAAGTGACATATGTGAGTCACACGATTCACAGCGTTACCTTAAGTGACGCCGAGGTACCCCACATGATTATCTTAAGTTTTTTTTTTGTTAATCATAAGAAATTCCCCAAATTAACCTCACCTGGAAACCAAGCTTGAAACCTGGACAAGCGTTTCTGATCACTTGCATTGGTGACCAGCAGACAATAAACATCTATTTTTATACAAGCTTGTTCTTCTTCCAGGTGAGTCAAGTTAAATTATTTATTTTTATATTTCTTTATGCTAAGATTTTATTACAAAGTTTTATGACAGAATAAGTAGCATTTTTGTTCATATTTATGTATTTTGCATTTATATTTGCCAGTTCATAAATTACATTATTTTTATAGATATTGTTGAAGCCATAACAGTTTATTTAAATTAAGTTAGTTTGCGCACTCGAAAGGGAATACTTTATACAGGATATATTCAATAATTGTTACAAGAGTACATTCTTTTAATTCAAGTATTTTCTATAGTTTCAAGAGTTCAGAATAAGTATTCAATGGAGATTTTGTAAATAGTTTTGTTATTTTTTTATATGCATGTTTTTCGATACGCTTTATTTTAATGTGTATTTTTCGATATGCTTTATTCAATTTCGTTAAAACTATATTACCTCAGATTATTAAACGATGCGACATTTTCAGGCATTTTTACTATTTTAGTTCGTTTAAGCATTTAGAAGCAATTTTGTATATAGTTAATTACGGTTTTCTTTTAGTACTTTAAGTTCTTTTATTTTTGGGCCATTGTTCATATCACTTCAGAGTTACTCCCCTTATTGAAGTAGCGTTTATTTCTACGAAACAGAAAATGATGTGTTCTTCCTTTATTCGACTATTCAAGGTGTTTTATAGTATTAAATTATTCATATTATAATGCGTAACATTCAATTCTTCACGCACATACGTTATAAACATTTTCTCATGGCATCTATTCATTCAAACGGCCAGTGCATAGAAAAGGGGGGTGCTCTTGCATTTATGTTTATTTTGTGTTTGTCAGTTATATTTACCTGGTACATTGTACATAGCTTTTGGTTGACTGTTTTATTTGATTTAGAATTACATTAATTGTTTATTCAGAAACAGGTTTAAATGAGATAAACTTACTTTGGCATTGTTTCCATAGAAACTGTAAAATAAACTATTCAAATTATCTCCCGTCATTTTAATTTCATTCCCCCAGTTCAAATTCATATTTATTTCATTCCCCCTGTTCAAATTCATATTTATTTCATTCCCCCAGTTCAAATTTATATTTATTTAATTCCCCCAGTTCAAATTTATATTTATTTCATCCCCCCTATTCAAGTTCATATTTATTTCATTCCCCCAGTTCAAGTTTATATTTATTTCATTGAGCTAGTTTTCCCCCCTATTCATTTAAAGTGAACTATACTTTTGGGTGGATTAATTATTCTTATTGGCATTATTCAAATACCAGGGTAACTGATATATTTAATTCTATTCATGTTTCTATATGTATGTTTTTATTATGTATGTTCATTGTTCATTGTATTATCATTATACACTTGCATTGGTGACCAGCAGACAATAAACATCTATTCTTATACAAGCTTGTTCTTCTTCCAGTATTCAATACAGTTCCTGTTCAGTGCAGTTCCAGCACAAATACACACAAGCAGTACACGGTCACCCACACTATACATTCAAACACAAGCAAGTCCAGTAACCCAGTCCAACCCACCAAACACAGTTCACATACACTACAAACCAGTAAAAGTCTGAAATGGCCTATATTTGAACTCGACTGTACTGATTTTTACTCGACCAGTCTGAATTGGTCTTAAATTTACTTGAAAATACTCGACTGTAGTCTGAACGATACTTAACAGTCTGAACTTGTACTCGACCTTTACTCGACCAGTACTTAACCATTTTATTTTCGTCTGAACCATGCTCGACCTAGTCTGAACCATGCTCGACCTAGTCTGAACCATACTCGACCTAGTCTGAACCGTACTCGACTAAGTCTTAACCAACCTAGACCTAATTTTTGTATCTATCTATTGTATTTCATCAATTTAGGAACTGTTTTTAACAACTATTTCCCCTGGCTAGAAATTTGAACAACAATTTGAAATTTAAAATGCATTCAATATGGCATTGAAACCAAAATTTCACAATAAACATAATATAAATTCAACACCATATTTATCAACACTTACATATATATATATATCACCTTAAAAATAAAAATAAAACAAGCTGATCAAATAATCTCAAAACTGAATTGTGACTGATATGTTCAATGTTATTCAAATTTTTTTTAATGTTTCAGATATATTTTATGGTTACTGGACAATTTTCACCATTTACTTAAGCCTTGTATAGATTTATGGTGTCAGTTGAGTTTAGTTAATAATGCAGTGAACATTTTTTTTATTAAAATATATTTAAAATAGTATATAAAGCAACTTAATAAATTTTAAAAATCACACCTTTGTTTTGTAAAACCAAGAATTTAATATAGTCATGATAATAGAACTTCCATAGCAATCCTTGATAACCATTTAAAAAAGGAAATGTGTTCCAAAGTTGCAGAAAAAATTTCTTTCAATTAAATTTAAATAACTTTTGTCAAAATTAAAGACATTGCATACAAGACGCACTTTAATAAGGTTTATTTACCTCAGTACATGTGTGTTTTACAGGTAAAAAAAAGCCCTTTTTTTCTTAAACTCGTGTATTACTTATCTAGTGAATTCAAAAGGCCTTGCGATTTAAGATTCACAGGATGTTTCAATTTTTAATGAATGTTAATTAGAAATTAATACTCTCTGACCAGGTGTGATCTTTTTAATGAGTTTGCCCCAAGCAGGAGGTATTACTTTATACTTTACCACTAATCAGAAGAAAAATTTCATCTATTTCTTTAATTTTTTTATCCCTTTTTGATATATATTATATATAATATATCCCAAATTATAATAAGATATATTTCTAATATAAGGTTAAACAATTTCAGTGATTTTTTGTCTGTTGTTACCTCATTAAAAAGATAATTATATAACTATTGTATGTAACCATGAAACCTATATAGTTTTTCTTTAGGATTTTAGGAAAATTAAGTTTAAAAAAAAAAACACACAAGAAGCACCTTAATAAGGTTTTATTACCCTCAGTAAAGGTGTGGTTAGCTAAAAGAAAATCTTTTTTTTAACAAAACTCTAAAACTTTAAAATTAATATAATTAGATTATTATATAAGATAATTTAATTTAGCCATCTCTATTTGATAAATCTGATTATCATGTTAGGATGTAAAAATATGTTTTTATATATATCTTTATTTTATTGTGGCTGTTGTCATGTCAGAAAAAAAAATCAATTTTAACAGCTAAATAAAAAAAAGTACAGGTTTTTTGGTCAAGTATGGTTCAGACTGGTCGAGTATTGTTCAGACCTTTGGTCGAGTATGGTTTAGACTGAAAAAATTGGTCGAGTACAGGTCGAGAATGGGTTAAGACTGTTTCAGACTGGTCGAGTAATAGTTCAGACTATTTTCAATGGCAAAGATAAGGGTCAAGAACAAATCAGTACGGTCGAGTATGGTTAAGACTGGGGTCGAGTAATGTCGAGTAAAATTCAGACCAATTCAGACTGGTCGAGTAAAAATCAGTACAGTCGAGTACAGATATAGGCCATTTCAGACTTTTACTGGTTTGTAGTGATAAATATCAAGTAGAAATTAATTTTAGATAATTGTCGTTAGTCTACTAAACGTGCGAAATTATGTTGTAAGGTACATTAACTGAAAATATGTGTGTTCAACGAATTTTCAACATGTTCAATGTGTGAACATAAATACTGTTTTGAGGCACCTTGTAACTTTGCTTCTTAATCAATATCAAAATTAAAAACAGATGCCTATACGTTTATTTTTTTCTCTTTTTTCCATTATACAAGATCATCTTTTAAAAAATGAGGAGCTAGTAAGAGTTTCACTTTCCGTGGTTAGATATTAGTCTGAAATCTGATCATATTCTATAATGAAATCAATTTTACTGTACAGTGTGCATCGTTCAATTTGAATTCTCAATCCTTCCACACTAGTAAGCACTTGTTTTCTGTTCTATGCTCTGAAACTGAACATGAATGAATATATTTTTTATTGATTTATTTTACTGAAAAATATACGCTTTTCATATTTTCATCGGATATTGCCATACTTAACGTCTATTGATTCACAAGTAGAGATACAGAACCTCTTTCCCTTACAATACCTCCCCATTTTATTCATTTAAATGAATGATTGAAAGTTACTAATATAAAGTACAAGACACTTGCTAAAAGGTTATCTAGACTTTTGATCCTTTTCTCTGAAGTTAACTCTATGTTCAACACATTTCGCTGCAATTCGATCTTGAGAAGAAAGACCCTGCTATTATAGATACTAGAAAAAAACCCGCGTGAGCGCGGCTTGAAGACTACTTGAAATGTTTATGGTGATACACAGCTTGGGTTCGTGTTTCTCAAACTGTTGTTATGCACTGATGCATTATGTTGATAGTTTTTATTAGTTTGTCAGTTCTTCTTCCATAGCAGTTTGAATGTCCAATTAGTAGCTTCTGTCTAGGTGCTCCTAGAACGGAGGAAATAACTCATAAAACATTTCATTTCTCAGTGGTGCTAGTTTGTAGTATTTCTTTGCTTTCGAAAGGTGCGAGTCAAGTTCTGTCTCTGTGTGATACGGGTGCTCCAAGAACGGAGGTCCCACTATGTATTGGTTACCTAAACTAAAAAAATAAACCGTAAAATATCGTTTCATCTCGGCCTTTAGAAAGTGTTCTTCTACTAATCTTTCGGTTGATTTTAACGAGTTCCTTACTACTATCAAAGAACTTATCGTTAATTTTTGTAATGAAACATATGAAAGTAGTGGAATTAACCATTTTTGGATGTTTTAGATAAATTACGTGCTTTTGATGGTTCTTTTGATTCGGTTGACAGTTTTAACTTTTCCACTCTTTATACTTCATTACCACAATATTTATCAAGCAAAAGTTTTCCTTTCTAATTAAATGGTCGTTGCAACTCATATAAAGCCCTTTTCTCAAATGAGAAAGGTAAATATGCTAAAGATACTTACTGGAGGTGTGATGAGATGATTAAAGCCCCAAATTTTCTCCTTGACAGCAATTATGTACGTTTCGGCAATAAAGTATATCTACAGGTTGTAGGTATTCCTATAGGCACCAATTGTGTCCCTTTAATAGCAGACTTGTTCCTTTACTGTTATGAATCATAGTTCATGGCCAAACGCAGTAAAGAACCGTATAAATTCCATTTAATTGATGAATTCAACAACCCTTACCGTTATCTTGATGATATTTTTTCATTAATTAATCAAGAATTCTCTAAATATACTGCTGAAAATTTACCCAAAGGAACTAACTTTAAATAAATTAAATAGTAACAGCAATAACTCTTCTTTCCTATATTTAGATATTTCAGTATTACACAAACATTTACGACAAAAGGAATGACTTTTCTTACCCTATTGTTTATTTTCCTTTTTTGGACGGTGATGTTCATTTGGCACCGTCTTACGTTATTAATATATCCTGACTCGTTGGCTATGCTCGTGTCTGTAGTCACGTTTTGGATTTCAATGGGCGTAATCTATGTATTTACTAGTAAATTATTTCTTTATCACAAATTACTTAAAACCTTTACTAAATTCTTCCATAGATACAAATATTTTGTTTGCAAGATTGGCTGTACCTGTAGAAAACTTCTTTCAAACGGAATAGCACATTCTAAATTTTACGGTGATGTTGTTAGCCGAGCCCGGAAATTTAGATACGATCCGGGTAAACTTATCAATCCTTTAAATAAACTTCTTCTAAAAGGTTACCTATTCAACACTGTAATTAAATCTATGAATAATGTGTTTATTGATATAAATATTGATTTTGTTGTCAGTAAATTAAAACCATACTAAATATTACACATATGTACTTTCACGTTACTACAATCTGTCGATACCTATATTTTGGCATTGCACAAGGTCATGTTTTTCTCTGACTGTTAATAACGTCTTTACACTAAATCCATTGGATGTTGGATGTGTACTGATTTATAATTTAGTCTTAGATACATGATTTTTTTATTAGTTGTAATTGGCTTTGAACTAGCTGTCAGTAACTGCGAGTACTTTCAGATCTGTACTTATTGTCTTTTTTGTTGTTAGAGATGAGGGATAGATATACACCCTGCCACGTCCGGTCTGTGTTTTTGTTTGATGTTTTTTTTTATCGATCTGATGAGTAAGGCCTTTTTCAACTCATTTTTATAGTTTATTCTTATGTTGTGCTGTTACACCACTGTCCCAGATGATGAGATGGTTGAGCGCTCACAGACATAAACAACCCCGCCACATCCTATATGTGCCTGTCCCAAGTCAGGAGCCTGTAGTTTAGTGGTTGTCGTTGGTTCATGTCTGTCATATTTGTTTTTCGTAAATTGTTTTGTTTTAAATTAGGCCGTTAGTTTTCTCAATTGAACTGTTTCATGTTTTTTATGTTGATGCCTTTTATAGCCG